AAGACTATTTCACGGAGAATCCTACATATCCTCCGCACCTCTTCCGGAGAAGGTACCGAATGCGTTGATCCCTCTTTGTGAAAATTGTTGAAGCTTGCGAGGCAAATTGCCAGTATTTTACTCAAAGAAGAAATGTCGTGGGCTTAAAGGGATTTAGTGCATATCAAAAAATCTCCGCAGCTATGCGGGTGATTGCATATGGCGTTCCGGCTGAGTATGTCGATGAGTATCTTCGCATTGGTGAAGATAGCACAATTGAGTCTGTGCGTAGATTTGCGAAAGTGATCATTCGTGTCTTCGGTCCTGAGTATCTTCGGGCACCCAATGAAGATGACACAAAGAAATTGATGGCATCAAATGAGAGAAGAGGTTGGCCTGGCATGCTAGGTAGCATTGATTGTATGCATTGGAATTGGAAAAATTGCCCCAAGGCTTGGCAATGAATATATTGTGGCAAGTTTCTTGATGCAACAATTGTGCTAGAGGCCGTAGCATCCGAGGATTTATGGATTTGCATTGCTTTTTTGGTATGCCGGGCACTCTCAATGATATCAATGTGTTGCAACGGTCTCATTTGTTTGCTAGGCTTGCTAGTGGTGATGCTCCTGCTTGCAACTACACTATCAATGGGCATGGATACACAAAGGGGTACTATCTTGCAGATGGTATATACCCTTCTTGGTGCACATTTGTCAAGAGCATCAAAGAACCCAAAACAAAAAAATGTGAATTTGCAAGGGTGCAAGAGGCAGCCCCAAAAGACATTGAAAGAGCATTTGGTGTTTTGCAATCTAGGTTTGCCATTGTCCGTGGTCCTGCTCGTTTTTGGGATAAAAACCCTTGAAGAACATAATGACATGATGTGTTATCCTGCATAATATGATTCTTGAAGATGAGAGAGGATTGAACTTAGAATTCTTTTACGACAATGTGGGTAGCCGTGTCAAACCAGCAAGAGACCCAAACCGCATTAGAGCTTTTCTTCAGACTTACAAGGAGATTGAAAATGCAGACACCCACTTTCAACTTCAGAAAGATCTCATTGAACACCATTGGCAAAGGGCTAGACAGTGACTTATTTTTGTATTCATTTGTATTTGTATTCATGACAAATTTTGTATTGCACTATTTAAGTTTGCTAGTGTTATTTGAATAATTATTTGTAATGCGGATGATTATTGTATTATGTTTGATTGGAATAATTCAGTTTGTTTTTTATTGTTGAATTATGTTGTATTTGATATTTGTGGGATGATGATATGTGGGATGCAGCAGCGCAAAGAGCAGACCCCGCAAAGCCGACCCGTAAAAAAAAATATTTCGTTAATATACTTTTTTATGGATCCGTTTGGGGGGTCTGCATCTGTGTCAGCCCAAACCGACCCGCGAAAGCTGTTTTGCGCGAACTGCAAACGCGTTTTGCGAGCCGGCGGAATGCGGGGTCGGCTAGAGTTGCTCTCAGCGCCAAGGTGGCAGCTGAAAGCGAGGGGACAAAAATTCGAAGACGATACGAGGAACCCTGGTTAGCCCCTTGAGGCTGATCATAGTGGTGAGTAACTTAGACTAGTAACATGCATGTGTCACTAGTCTATGTTACTACCTCTATAGTGCATACTCTATCATAGATTAGTATCATGTGTGGTCTCATTTATTGCCAGCATGACACATAGTAGCATCATATTTATTATGTTACGGTATCTACCTATGTTACTATAACCATCTATCTTTTTTTTAATTGCTTACAACATAAATATATTTATGAGTCCCAGATACATGATACTACTTATGTTACCCACTATGACCAGCCTGAGCGCGAGGGTTCGCATCTCTATCAAGCTGCACGGTTTCACTTTGAACCAAAGTTTGTGCCAGCCCTCGTGGCCCAAGGCTAGGCAGCATCTGGTAGGGCATGGGCCGCCGGCCCGATAGTTGCCGCTACTCTGCTCTGCTTGTGGCATGCGCCGTCTCCCGCCGACGCTCGCCGTCCACCTGCCGCCATGCCCCACGCCCGTGGCTACTCCACCCGCCACCGCCGCCGACGTCAACGTCGCGACGGTGCTCGACCTCATCGAGCGCGCCATCTCCGTGGGCGACGTCCGCCGCCTCGGCCGTGCCGCGCACGCGCTCCTCGTAAAGACGGCGCTCAACCATCACACCCTCCTCTCCAACCGCCTCATCGAGCTCTACGCCACGCTAAACTCCCCGGCGGCCTCCCGCGCAGCCTTCGAAGAACTCCCGTACAGGAATGCCCATTCCTACAACAACCTCCTGGCCGCGCTTTCACGCGGCCCCGCCACCCTCCCCGACGCCCTCCACCTGCTCGACGCGATGCCTGCCCCCTCTCGCAATGTAGTATCCTACAACACCGTCATCTCGGCCCTCGCGCGGCACGGCCGGCAAGGGGAAGCGCTCCGTGTGTTCGCCCGGTTGGCCAGGGACAGGTGCCTGGGGCCGGAGGTGGCCGTCGACCGTTTTGCAGTGGTCAGCGTGGCGAGCGCGTGCGCTGGGATGGGAGCCGTGAGGCCACTCCGAGAGATGCACGGCGCGGTAGTGGTGTCGGGGGTGGAGGTGACGGTCATTATGGCCAATGCAATGGTGGATGCCTTTAGCAAGGCCGGGAGGATGGAGGACGCCAGGACGTTGTTCAATCAGATGAGCATCCGGGACACGGTCTCTTGGACATCGATGATTGCAGGGTACTGCCGTGCAAAGAGGCTCGATGAGGCAGTCCGGGTATTTCACATGATGCCGGAGCAGGACACAATTGCATGGACGGCACTCATCTCTGGGCACGAGCAGAATGGCGAGGAGGATGCCGCTCTGGAACTTTTTCGACAGATGCTGGTTCAGGGGATGGCACCAACACCGTTTGCTTTGGTGTCGTCTCTTGGTGCATGCGCCAAGCTCGGGCTTGTTATTCGAGGGAAGGAAGTGCATGGTTTCATGTTGCGCCGCTGCATCGGTTCAGACCCTTTCAACATTTTCATCCACAATGCCCTCATTGACATGTACTCCAAGTGCGGTGACATGGCGACTGCCATGTTAGTGTTTGCATGGATGCCTGAACGGGACTTCATCTCCTGGAACTCCATGGTGACAGGGTTCTCGCACAATGGCCAGGGGAAGCAGTCACTTGCTGTGTTCAAAAGGATGCTTGAAGCTGAAGTGCAGCCAACCTATGTTACTTTTCTTGCTGTCCTAACGGCTTGCAGTCATGCCGGTCTAGTCTCTGATGGCCGTCAGATTCTTGAATCAATGAAGTACCATGGTGTTGAACCAAGGGCTGAACACTATGCCTCCTTCATAGATGCTCTTGGTCGGAACCATCAACTGGAAGAAGCAAGCGAGTTCATCAAAGGTTTGTCATCCAGGATTGGTCCAGGTACAACTGGGTCGTGGGGGGCGCTTCTTGGCGCATGCCGTGTTCACGGCAATATTGAGATTGCAGAGAAAGTGGCGGAGTCCCTTTTTCAGTTGGAGCCTGGAAACAGCGGTCGGTATGTCATGTTGTCAAACATTTACGCAGCGGCAGGTCAGTGGGATGATGCCCGCCGTATCAGGGGGATTATGAAGGAGAAGGGTCTGAGGAAGGACCAAGCTTGCAGTTGGATCGAGGTGCGGAATGCGAAGCACATGTTTGTTGCTGATGACACGTCTCACTGTGAGGCAAATGAGATATATGGGACGCTGGACAAACTTTTTGATCATATGCGTGTTGTAGTGGATCCTGTTGAAGACCAGCTTACGCTGTGCTGAGAGTGTCATGCCTTTCCAAAGAATCATCAGAACAAGAATGCTACACGAAGCATGCCAGTATATGTTCACTGTTTTGCCTTCAGCGTCTTTGAAATGGCAGAGTGTTCCAGTTTCTGAGGCATGAGGCCGCAAAGGAACTTCAGAGCCTAATTTCTTTGCACAGTACTTGAGGCAGCAATCTCAGGAGAACCAGTATGATTTGATCCATTTAAATAGCCCTACCCACCGCTTCAGCATACAACTAAACACCACTAACAACGCATGGAAGTGTGTGTGTTATATGCCAGCAATCCGTATACAGTTCAGTATCTACTAAGTTGTTGGATATCTGTTTGACTTATTTCTGCAGAAAAAGGGATATGTATTCATTGAAGTAGAAGTGAGCTAGGACTTCTGCCAACAATGGTTATATTTTCTCGTCACTTCTACTGATCCTGACTCGAATTATGATTATATAGTTTGGACAAGTCGGTGTTGCCTACATCGTGGATCATTGTTACTCTGTGCAAGTCAATTTTCCTGACAAACAGGTGAGTTACACTATGTTTGAAACTACTTCTGCGAAGCCTTTTGCTCAGATAAATCCACTGAGAGCCAAAGGGTATTTCCCGTGTTATCCTAGGAAGTGCCATGTGAGATAAATGATGAGGTGAAGAGAGAAGCCAGAAAAAAGGCTTACCTTCTCTTAATTAAGGGATGATCTCTTAGCAACCATATCTCTAACCACATATTTAGGTATAGACTAGTTACTAGAGATATAATGAATAATCCATTATACATCGTATTTTTATTGCCTTCTCTAGATTACATGACAGGTTTAAAATAAAACTGACTTATCAACCATTATACATGCCCAAAATTAATCTCTGTTTGATGAATCGCGATCGCCAAGAAGGGTGAGGCTTGGCATTACTGACACATAGCAAACTAGAACACGTGTGAAATAATGGAAAAAAAGCTTATTAACAACGATTATATGCCATCAATAATTAAGTTTATATTGTCTCGTTTGATTTCCAAGACTATCTTCACCTTGTCTTACATGGATGCATGCACCTACCTAACAAGACAACCTGAAGATAACCCCTATCTCAAAACTACTAGCAAATCTAGCCAACTATGATCTCTGTTTTCCTATGTGAATATATAAATATATACATACACACATGCATATTTTCTTCTGCTTATTATCCAATTTGCATTTTCTCCAGCAAGCTCCCAAAATCGCCAGTTAATATCTTCTGCTAATAGAATAAATCACCGCTGCCTTCAGGTATGCTGTGCAAGGCAGGCCGCCACCCTCTGCAGCAACCGATCTCCTCCTGCTGCTGATCTTCCGATCCCCTTCGCATGAGAGCCACCATGTCGTCCAGGGAGACGGCCTGGTCGTCCTTGCCCAGCATCCGCCTGAGCTCCTGCTTGCTGATGACCAGCTTCACCCTCATGACGGCGCCAGGGTCAGCGGCGGCGGAAGGCGCCTTCATGTCGGAGGGGAACAAACGATGCAGCTGCCCCAAGTCGCCCACCTGGACGTCGTTGAGGTGTTGCTTCTGCGCCCGGAGCTCGTCGTCGGGGTCTGAGCCGGAGACGCGTGCCGGGGCGCCCTTAGAGAGGGGTGGCGGGAGCACCTTGAGGATCTCGCCGTCGACGACGCTCATCACCTTGATCTCCTTTCTGTCTTGGATCACCAGGCAGTTCCCCATGGCCGACGATGAGCTGAGCTGCGAGCAGATTGGTGGTGAGCTACGAGGGACGCACGCGCAGTGGAAAGATCACAATTCGCAAGTGCTCGTGTGCCAGTGTGTGTAAGTGGGGGGTTGGACGGACCAGTGGAGTGCTCTATTTAAAGAAGTGATGGTTGAGAATGTCCAAATATTTAAGATCTTATTTCACGAATGCCATTTCTCTACTTACTTTCATTTTTGTGACAAATTCTCTTTCTGCCTTTTAATAAAGCGGCCTTGGACCTTGGCCTACCTTTAAGTGGAGTGAAGTTGCCTCCTCGGTACAACAACAAGCTATAACCATTACAAGAGCGAGCGCACTTGCCCTACTTCCTCCGTTTCAGTTTACAAGTCCTACGTGTATATCTAGGTTGTCAATTTTATCACCTAATATAAACTATATAACACAAAAATTATAGCGTTTGAAAATAGAACATCTGAAGTTTATATTCGTATATTTTTTTGTAATATATGACTTGTATTAGGTTGGTCAAATTAACGACCTAGGGGTACGCGCACGCCCTGTAAACTGAGAGAGCGCACTTTCATGAGAAATGCTACAGTTACAAACAATTCTCATTGTTTATGGGTTGAAGTTTATGGACAGATGTGGCGCCATCTGCTTGGCCCGATGGAAGTCACGGGGTCCCACATAATATATAGACATGAAAAGCACCGATTTTTTTTCCTTAAACAGTTAAACTTTGTAACACAGTCAGTCTCAATTTAAATCGAGCCTTGAACTGTTCGCTAATTTATGTGGCATATCCCTCTCTTCATGGATACCTAGAGTGACTACACGCTGGACATGATGGTAGTTGCCCTGTATCATAATCATACGCTGACTATCGATTGTTAACACCAAATTATCACAAATTGTACAGAATAATTTCTTGGGAATACATATTTCTGGGACAAATGGGGTTCTAAATGCTTGCTGGAAGGGAACTGAAGTCGGCGATAACAACAACCTACCAAGAGAGCCGTTTTGGAGGCCGAGCTATATGGAGGCCTTTATTTTTGAAAAGTTCAAATTCAAACTTTTATGGTTCAAAAAATTCTGAAAAAAATATGTGTGTATGTAAGGATGTAACTCACATGTGTGTAAAAATTCATGATGAAATACCTTGAGTTGCGACCTATACAAAAAAGACAAATTCATGGCTTGGGAGGATGAACATGTGTTAAACAGCCCCAGATTTGTCTTTTTTGCACAGCCCTCGTTTGAATATATTTTAAACTGAAAATTTACACACAGGTGTATTAAGCCTTAATGTCTATTTGTATTTGTTTTCAGAATTTTAAATAATGTAAAAATATGAATTTTGATGAAATTTCAAATTTGAATTTGGAGGCCTCACTAGAGGCCGAGCTCCAAATGGGATTTCTGCAACCTACCATATGTGTTGTAAGTAAGAGGTGAGAACACATTAGCATGCATGCACGCGGGGCCCAACACTTTGGGCGCAGGCCTAATCCATGTTGTAATTGTGCTATCTTTTATACTCACTCTGTTTCTAAATATAAGTCACTTTAGATATTTCAATAAGGACTACATACAAATGTATATAGACGCATTTTATAGTGTAGATTCACTCATTTTGCTTCATACGTAGTTCGTATTGGAATCTCTAAAGGGGCTTATATTTAGAAACGGAGGGAGTAGAATGCAGTGGAGCTAAGAATCATTTGCATGTTGCCAACTTTGCAAAACATGAAACATCATCCCGAAATTTTGTGCGCGTGTAGTGGCGATAATTATGGGGTACAGGCTGAAAGCAATCTCACTCCATTAGCGCTATATGATGATGATACCAAATTGTCACCACTACCAACCTATGAAAACATCAATTGCACCATACCGTTTTATGTTTCATTAATAAGTAACTCTCAATTAATCGGTGATTCTTCTGTATGCCTAAACGTGCACCTTTGTTGTGTTATGCGTGTTCCTTTACATGGTCTACATAGGTAGGTTTTGGAAACTATTAAATTGCAACATTTATGATAATCTCTACATGAGTATAAAACACGTGTTCGGTTATCTTTTGAAAGTACATGGCCTTTCATCGTCTCGAGTATGACCATAATTATCATAAAATCAAATTTTACAATTAGTGCCATTAATTGGCAAAATTCTAGCCCATGGCTTGGTCGTGTCAACTTAATTATGTAAAACCCTCAAAAGAAGAGATTATAATAAAGTAACATAAAAATTTCTGATGACATGAATTCACATGCGCACAAGCAAAAATTATAATTTTCTTTGTACAAAGTTAAGTTCAGTTTTCATAACATGGTAAGCCTTTTCTTGCTTTGTTTTCATTTATTGTATTGTAAGAATATAAACCCAAATGAGCGAGTATGGTACATAGCGTTAAGCTGGTACATGTCGTATATACAGGAATTTGGAGACCCAACTCTTGGAGGGCATGTTGAGCTTCAATCAAGGCCAGATCTTGGGACTTGTTTTTGTCTTCGTCTCATCTACGTGATCGATGGCGTCTTACAAAGGGAACGGCGTCACCGCGTGTTTCTGTTCTCTGGTTTCTTCTCCGTCTGACGAGGCTCAGTCATATGTGGCTCCGTCGGGGACTTGAGAGGTTTGTATCCCCTTCCTTGCTCTATCCGGAGATGGGATTATCTTCTACCCCTTCTCGGTGCCAGCTTCTTCGTGACGGCGATTTGCTCACATTTTGGTCGGTGGTGTCTTCTGGTTTATATAGATGGCTTCCCAGCAGTCGCTTCTTTAAGGTTGCTCTGATAAGGTGGCAACAAGCTTTGCCCATGGCTAGTGGAGGAGCTTGAAACCCATCCTTGGGCGGGCTGGGTGGGCCAAACGAAAGGAAACAGCCTGTGAGCTGGTGTTTCAAGGTCCAGAAGAAAAAAATAGTGTACAAACTGCAGAAACTTGGGCGGGCCACGGCCTATTCAGCCTTGCCGTGGCTCCGCCAGTGCCCACGGCGTACTGCTGGTGGATGTAGAAGGAAATATGGTGTTGATTTCATCAAGGACTTGCTTGTGATTTCATATTCTTTTAATGGTGTTCTTGTAAGGGATGTTTTTATCTAATACACTGCGAAAATGGAAAAACTAAAAAAGAAGTGATTCACGTTTATTTAATTTCTTCATGCAATCTATAATTGTTAGATTTAGCATGAGAACTACTGTATTTTCTTAATATCATACTAGTGCAAAATTTGTAAGAAGAAAGGCGTCCACACCACATTATCGCACGGCCGGCTAGAGTGTTTGAGCAAGCATGAGCCGTTTTTCTCGTTGGCACGACGTAAGCAGGAGATCGAATCTAGCGCAAGACAACAAAAGCGCGTCCATCACATCAAGTAGCCATCAGCACATTCCCAAGCCCCACTACGACCCTCCTTTCTGTCATCTTTCCCCGCACTTTTCTTCGTCTGCACATTTTATCTCTCTAGTGCGCACTATGGGACCTTTTTCGCAGTAACATGGGGATTTTGTTATCATCACGGACGGACAAAATAAAGTGATATGGGCACTGACTTGCTCAGTCAAAACCATACCTTAGAAGACCAATTCAAAACCTCTAGAGAGTGGGTAATTAAGCACGTCGAGTGTGTCTAAGCAGACGTACCTGCAATTAATGATGTAAAAGAGAGTTGCAATATCATACTCCCTCTGTCCCATAATGTAGGATGTTTTTTTGACACTACTACATTATGGGACGGAGGGAGCAGTACATAGCACATGAAAAGAGAAGAAAAACTTAATTTCGCGTAAATCCAAGCGACAACTTTGTATTGAGATTCTACAAATGAACAAATAAAGTGTCACACTGTTGCATTGGGGAATTATTATTGTACTAAACTGGTATCATGTGCATTGTGCCCCATTAATTTAGGCAACACACATTGTATATTGCATAAAACCAGAACAAATATTTTTTTGAATTGTTTATATGACACACTTTTGTCGTATCATTTTTTAATCTGATAACGACATTTTTTGTACAATGAATGGATATTCGTCCTACCAAAGCAATTTCTATTGGAGTACTACAGATGCATATCATGCATTTCTTTTTGCTACTAGCACCTACTTAACCCATGAGTGTGGATTTTTGGAGCACGGGTGCATCGGATCACTTTATTTTGAATAGTTCAAAAATCACATTTAAAAGTATTAAAAAATGGAAAACAATTTAGCATGTTCATATGCATGTATATTACACGTAAAATTTGGTGATGAAATAAATAAACCTGTGAGATACATAAAAATGAAAAAACAATGATTGCTAATTAGCGAACAATATATGCACTGTTTATCATTTTCAAAATAATGATATGTCATATTTGTGTAGCTCACGTATAGTTACTTGTATCATCATCAAAATCACCAGTGGCTTATTTCTTGAGTGTGAATTTTTGGAGCATTGGTGCATTGGAGCACTTTATTTTAAATAGTTCAAAAATCATATGCACGACCATCTAAGCATGGGCGACCTCTGCCGGTCGAAATGGAGTTTGGCACCCGAGGAGCGTCATATCCACATCCCGGCCTCCTCATCCTCTGATCTCATGTTTCAATTGCTTTCCAATTTTTTGTGCATCATTTTTGGGCCATCAGAAAAAAGCCACAACAGTCACGATGCCCCAAAACCTTCTCTCTCATACCCTATAATCCTTTTTACATTGCTATAAGTTTTACTACATCAATCTACTATTGAAGGTGCTCTTATAGCCGAAGATGCTCTATTATATGTACATACTACTCGACGTGATGTAGGGCATTATATTATCTCACGAACAGACCCAATGAGAGTTTCCTTTCTTTTTTTGCGGAAAACCATTATATTATCTGACTCCTGCTCCAAGTCGATCTTATTAGGTTGAGATATTTGCAAACTCGTGACTGCGTCAAAGTAACTAGATCATGTGTTGCCATTAAAAAACTATGTTTTCTATATCTAGGGCGCACTAATCTTGTTGAAAAGAATATTA